ACCTCTGGCCTGTACCCCAGTTCTGTATGCATAAATAAATCCATCTTAAAAAAAAAAAAGCACATGTGCTTTTAAGCATATAACAATGCTCAAAAGAGCATTGTTATCTTTTGAGCAGAAAAAGAAAAAAAAAAACCCGTTGGCAAACAATACAACAAATCATGCCAAGAATCACTGGTCATGCCCTTTGACCTGGCAGCCTCCCTCCTGGGAGCTGACCTGAGGAAGTCATTCAAAGAAGGAAGAGACTGGCCGTGAAAGCAGGTACTGCAGCATTATTTACAAAGGAGGAAAACAGGTAACCACCTGGCTTACGTCAGGGCAGCAATTATTAAATTATTCACTCGTTGGAACATTGTGCAACAATTAAAATGAGAGCGCTGACGTGAACAACAAGGGGAAATGCCAGTGACGCAGGAGATGCGGGGGCAGGGGCAAAAGGGACATCTCTGGGGGACCACCAGCGCGGACTCCTCTCGCCCGCATTTGGATGAGGACTGGAAGAAACGGCACATAAAAAGTTGAATTTGTTGGGGCCACTGAGGGAGGGTGATTTTTTTTCTTTTTCATTTAGGAGTCTAATGTTTCTATAATGTTGTTTGTGTAATAAAGAAAGAATTGGTTTTTAAAAATCCCCTCTGGGAAAGGAAAGGCAAGCAGAGAGAGGAAGATAAAAGGGAGAAGCGCTGGGGCTCTCCAGATGGGGGGTCTGGAAGAGAGAAATCCAGATATAATCTAAAATGCACAGGCGAACAGCACCAGACCTGTGTCCTAGCTGAGTGGCCCCAGAGAGGGCCTCCTTTGTCCTCGGCCTTGAACATCATGGGGCGGACAAAATTAGGAAGTCAGTAGGTTAGCTGGGGTACAGAGCGCTCTTCAGATTGGAATCATTTGGAATACTGATCAAGAGTGCCGATGACGCAATCGTAAAGAAGTGCGTATGCACCCCTGTGTCTGCAGGGGTGTGTCCCGCGGGCTTCCTGGAGGCTAGTGTAGTTGGTGAGTCCAAACAGGGAGATGTGGGCCCTGGTCACCAGCAATGGCACTTCTTGCAGTTTATCCTAAACCTAAGGAAATGATCAAGCTAGGGCATGCAACTATAAAAATGTCTCCACAGACACACTGGACATGGGAAGGAGCTCCCTTCAGGAGAGTGAAGGAGAAAGCACCAAAGCAAGATGCGTATTAGTCCATTTTTTAAGATTGTCGATCTAGAGATAACTTCATCGGCAGGTAAGGATGTTCTAAGACCTAGGTCAGCACCTAGATAGCCGTTGGCTTGAATGGCAGGGTAAATTCTATCAGCCAATTTAATTACTTTGCAGTAACAGCCCCCAATCTACCAGCTTACATGCTGATTTCTCACTCTGTTCACATCTGTTGTGGTCACCTGCCCCTCTGCCTAAGATCTGCACTCTGGGACCCAGGCTGAAGGTTTCTATCTGAACATTGTGGGCCTCGGTGGCAAAGGGAGAAGGCACCAGCTCTTAAATCAGGGCTGGCCAAGTCTCACAGCCCTTCCCATGTAACATGTCTGCATCTATAAACCCCCTCAGACCCTCAGAAAGGGGCACTCAGGAGAGTAGTGAACAGTAATATAGATTGAACAATGTATAGAACAATGTATATTTAACAGTATATACAGGTTATTTCTTCTGTCTTAGTCCAAGCTGCTATAACAAAATTACCATAGACTGGATGGCTGAATCAACATTTATTTCTCACAGTTCTAGAAACTAGCAAGTTTGACAAGGTGCCAGTAGATTCGGTAGCTGGTGAGGATCCACTTTGGGACCAGAGACATGCTTCTTCTCCACCTCCTCCCATGATGAAAGGGGCAGAGGGCTCTTGGGGCTCTTTTTCAAGGGCACTAATCCCATGCATGAGGGTGCTCCCCTCTGCCTTGGTCACCCCCAGCACCCACCTGCTAATACCACCTCCTGGGGGATTTGCTTTTCACCTAAGAATTCCGACCTCTAGTCTACAGTGTTGCTGTTACTTAAAGGCCATTTCCTTTGCAGAACACAGGCCTGCCCCAGGAAGCGGGTGGCCTCGCAGAGATGAGACCTGTGGCTTCTCCTTGTTAGAACCTCTTCGGGACAGAAGACAGAGAAGCTACCCAGTGTCAGGTGGAGAGGGTGGCACAAGCCGGAGGCAAGAGAGGACAGGAGGTCAGGAATTGGCCTAGTCTAAGAGACAGGTTACTTGACCTGGAATCCTGGTAAATATAAAATGTTGTAACAGGATGTTCTGGGTGTCCAGAGTGTCAAGTCTGCAACTTATTACATTATGACGTGACTCAGGAATGTTTGAATGTTCCCACATATAAAATGGAAACTAAAAACCTGCCAGCCTACTACCCGATGGGATGGGGACTTAATCATGGGACTCTAAAATCAGTGCTCTTGCACACACATTACACATGCACATGAATTACATTTCCTCTCATCTCCTGTCCCCAGTGTAGCTTATTTCCCCCTTTTAATGGCGCTCATGTCCTTTTCAGCATGGCGGGAACAAGACTACGTCCAACTTCAACGTGGCGGAGAACCTCCCTGTGGCGGAGCCTGGAAAGCCAGGGTGCACAGGGGAGGCCACCTCCGCTTTGTCAGGGCTGGCGGGAGCCGTGTCCCCTGGCGCCAGCCTCAGGATAGAAGGCAGGAGATGACAGGCTCCCAAAGTCCAGTCATTTAGGGAGCATTTAAAAACTAGATTCCTGGGCTCCACCTCCCTGGGAGTCTGGTTCACCTGGCAAGGGTGGGGCCAGACTGAGTCACAAAAGGTGATCTGTGCCACCCCCACCTGGCCCTGGCTGCCGCCCAGCCCCTCCGCACCGCCTCACGAGCTCTTCAGCAGGAAGGGCCCGGGCATCTCGGGTGGCAAGAGCCGGGAGCTGCGAGAAACCCGAGCAGACCCGGGTTACCTGCTCCGCCCGCCCAGCTCGCTTCTTGGATATCACGCGGAGCCTCAGGAAGAGTTCCCCGGGGCGGCACAGGGCATCGACAAGCTGCTCCAGGGTCAGAAGACGGAGTGCAACCGACGTCTTCCTCTTCCAGCTCCCGCCCTCAGAGCCGGATGTGCTCCCCAGCCTGCCCGCACCTCTTGACTGATAACCTGGAAACGCATCTCTTCACGAATCTATGCACACAGAGTTCCTCGAGGACCGAGACAGGTCTCATTCCTCCAGCTGTGCCTGGCACAGTCTCCGGCACACCATTAGTGCCTGCTGAATATTTCATGAATCAAGGAGAGGCAGTGACACTTACCACGTTATCACAGGGGCAGAGGACTGATAACTCACACCCACTGGGCACCTGAGACGCATGTGCTCACCTCTGAGAGGTGCAGGGGACCCCATCCTTAGTCACCCAGCTGGTGCCCTGATTGGCAGTAGTACTAAATGACTTTGATATGATATGAACGTTATGGAGCCTCTTCATAGGAAAATGCCTTTTTTTCTATCTCTGTCTCTTTCACACACATACGCACAAAACACAAGTCGCAGGTTAAAGGTATCAGCCCTTCAAAAGGGAAAATTCTTGTTCTATGGGTGATTGTCTATGAGTGAGTGAAATAAAGACAGTCATAACTTAATACTTGGGCATCCCCAATCTAATCATTGGTTTAGGAAGAAATATCAGAGGATACGAACATCACTGTGCAAAATGAATGTCAAAGACCAGAACACCGATTTGGTCTCGAGGTTCTCACTCCATAGATAATCTAGTAATTTCAAAGAAAAAAGTGCACCAGAATAAGGGTGCAGTTGGACACTTATCACCTTCCTCGAGTGCTCAGAATGAGAGTTACTGTAGTGGGCCGGCCTGACAGTTCATATGTGGAGTGGCACAGCATCAATAATACTATACAAGGCCCTCCCTGGTGGCGCAACAGGTTAGGATGCAGCACTGCAAGCTGGCCGCAGCCACTTCAGTGCGAGTTCAATCCCAGCTCCAGAGGTGACCCACATGGCGCAGCAGACCTCTCCTGACCCGCCCACTGTTCCCCTCAGCAGTGTACTTATCAGTTGGCCTGTTCTGCTCCCCACACTGTCTCTGGTGAATCCTTTCACCGCCCCTGCGCCTCTGGCTTGTACCCTGGTTATGTATGCATAAATAAATTAATCTTTAAAAAAATATCTATATAGTGCTCCTGCCAGGAGCCTCAGCCTAAATCCCATGATTAGGAAACAGTCAGATTCGGCCAGATAAGGAGGCATCCCACAAGTCAAGTGGCCCAGAAGTTCAGCTGCATAGAAAACAAATGAAAAAGGAAGGAGGGAGGGGAAATTAGAAAAGACGCAGAAGAGACTCAATAGCCAAAAGTAAAGCAGACAATTGCACTGGGGTCTGCGTCCCCCAGAGAGCTTTCAGGTGTTTTGGAAAGACCTGTGAAATCTGAAAACAGACTGCATGTTACTGCACGATACAATGTCCTTGCACGGATCACAGTGTTGAGGCTATATGGACAATGTTCTTTTTCTGAAGAGATGAAAGTTAAAATGCTTAATGTCTATAACTCTCTTTCAAATGGTGCAGCTGAAAGAGAAAGGGAGGACGGAAAGAATCAAGGCAGCTAGCAATGAAAGATAAAGTAAATGTTGTCAAAACACAACCATCAGTGAGCACGGGAAACACTCTCATTTTATTCCAGGCCACAGGTATCCTTGATAACATTATAAATACCTGCCTATTGCCAGGCTTTGCAGACACCCTGTAATGAAGGCTCTCGGGTTTACAGTGAGCTATTCTTTCAACTTTTTTGTAGGTTTAAAATCTCCCAGGTGAAATGCAAGGAGGTTAGCAATCTCTGGCCTGAGACTAAGCCTCTAGCCCCAAATCAGGATTCCACACCTCGGGAAGGAGCCAGACAATGGAGAGGACCCAGGTAAAGGCAGGTTCAGGCTCTTCAACTATAACCCCATAACCATCTCTGCAGGTAGGTGTTCAGGGGTGGCTTACCAGGCTCTAGGTCACTCCTGAAGTCCCCCTCTCCCCCCTCTCTCCCCTCTCTCTCTGCTTAGTTGCCTGCACCCTCACTCTAACAGTGGAAAGGCAGGGCCTGTGGCTCCTGCCCCCCCAGACATACCCTGTTTGTGAGCAAGGCTGGCTCTGATCTCTCCCGTCCTCAGAGAGGGCCCACCAGCACAGCTCAGTTCCTCCTGTGTCCTGCACTGTACTGTTCAGGGTGAAAGGTTGGCAGACCTATTGTTCAGAACTGTTTGCTGTCCAGGATCTTCTCTGGAGTCCAGTAACGACAGGCACTGACGCAGAATCCCTGCTCCTGCTGTGGAAGTGGTGGGCACAGTTGATGCCAATTCCCAGATTGAAAGGCCCTCCACCCACCTGACCCAGCCAGGCCCCCGGGGGTGCCAAGCCAGCCATGACTGGAGTGGATGTTGGTAGCGTTAGCCCAGCCCCCACGGCCCACCTGACACAGTCCTGGGACACCAGAACATGTGGTCATCCTCCTGGCACAGGAGAGGGATGTCTCTGCTGCCAGGCATCTTGGAGCTGAGGCAGGAGGGTGAGTAACAGAGAGTCCAGCACAGCTAGACCCTCCCAGGAACATCGAAGACCTCTGGAAAACCAAGATGCCTGGATGCGATGGCCTCGTCTTACCAGTTTCAATCCCCCCTCTCCACCAGTGTCAAGCCCCAACACCCACTGGTCCCTTCTTTTCATCTCTCTTGTGTTTGTGGATCTATAGCCAGGGTTCCCTGGGACCCCTAAACCACCCCCCATACCTGTGATCCAGCAGCAGTAGGCCCTGCTCCAGCAGCTCCCCCACCTCCTTGCTTGCTCCAGATATGTCCCAAAGGGTCAGCTGGGGCTCAAACTGCTTCCAGTGCTGGGGAAACCAGAAGGCTCAGGAATGCAGGAACCACAAGGTGGCTAACTGGCAGGGCTACCCCAGGCAGAGGGGTGCAGGGGGAACAGCCTGGCATCCAGGTTCCAGCACTGATGCATATACACCAGGGCCAGGCCACTGGGCCCGCAGGGAGGCAGGCACCTTTACCCCACTCCGTGATCAGGATGAAACCCAGCTCCCAGCCACGCCAGGTCTCCCCCTGCTCCTCTGCTCCGAGTACCGCCAGCCCCGGCCAGGGTGTTCCGGCCTGACTACTCCCAGAACAGCTCTATTACAATCGCTATCTATTATATTTCAAAAACATTTGCTATCCCTAATCTAGTGTGTCCTCCCACACAGCTGGGTTCAGAGAGACAGCAGGATGTGTGCCTACAGATACAGTAAGAAAGGGACTAGGCCCCAGGGCCTGCAGCCCTGGCAGCGGTCTCACCACTGCGCCACAGTCTAGTGCTTGTGCCCATCAGACGCCGGCTGGAGCAAAGCCCCAGAGGAATGGAGGGCGTGTGCAGGCACCCTGGAGCTCTCACCTGGTGAGTGAGCCCCACGTCTGTGCGCAGCCCCATGGCCAACACTTCCTCCAGCCTGAAAGGAAACACAGCAGGGCTCTGGGACCGGGCCCTGTGCCTCTCCACTGTTCAGCCCCACATATAGGAATATGCACCGGGGGGCTTGTGAGAAGCATGCAGCATGAGGTAGGGTGGAGACAGCGTAAGGCAAGAAACAAAGGTGTGCATGTGGAAGTATTTTGGGGAGTGCAGGAAAACCCCGGGTGAAGGCCCCTGTGCCCCCAGATGCTCACAGCTCCAGCTCGCCCAGAGGGACACACTTCCGGGTGCCATGACCAAATAGCTTCACCTCTTTCATCCAGTTGTCAGGCTCCAGGGTCTGGATCCGAGCCTCGCGGGTGTGGCCCCCGGCCCCGTGAGGTATAAATCGCCCATGGGCCCCTGACAACAACAAGCGGCCTACTTCACTAGCAGCCACACTGGATGCTTGCAGCTGTTCAGCCAGTGGTCTCAAAGTGTGGCCCCTGGTCCTACAGCATCTACATGTAGAGATGTGAATTCTTGAGCTCTACTCCAGCCTTGTCCAGTCAGAAATTCTGGGGGTGGGGCCCAGCAATGTGGGTTTCAACAAATCCTCCACATAATTCTGATGCACACTAAAGTGTGCCAGACACTGTATTAAGAACCTCAAAATACGTAACCAATAGCACTATGAAGTAGGTGTTATCGTTTTGTTTCACTTTATGAGGAAACGTATAAATAAGAGGCTAAATAAGTGAACCAAGACACAGAACTGTGGTGGCACAGTGGACTTAAGCACAGCACTACAAGCTGGCCGCAGCTGCTTGGATGCAAGTTCAATCCCTGGCCCCGAGGTGACCCACATGGCACAGAAGACCTTTCCTGTCTCCTTGCTGCTCCCGTCAGCAGTGTACTTATTCAGTCTGCCTGTTCTGCTCCCCACTCTGACTCTGGTCAATCTTTTTACCCCCTGCACCTCTGGCCTCTCCCCCAGTTCTGTATGCATTAAAACAAAACAAAACAAAACAAAACAAAACAAAACAAAACAAAACACAGAATGGTGATAACACTCCCTGAGTTATCCCTTCTATGGTTCACAGAGGACTCACCAGGCCCAATGCCAAGGTACTGACCACACTGCCAGTAGTTCCAATTGTGGATACTAAGCGCCCCCTGTGGGGAGGGAGGGAATAGTCAGTGCCCGTGAAGGAGAGGACCCACCTCTGCTCAGGTAAGGGTACCCAGTGGAATGACCCACCAATGCAGCCTTGAAAGCACCAAGCAAGACCCTTCTCCCCAAAAGGCCTGTGACCAGGGTCACTCCCAAGCCTGCCATTGCGCACTGCACCCACCATCAGCCCAGGACTTACATTCCGGGCGAAGTTGGAGACCTCATACTGGCGGAAGCCGGCCTCGCGCAGAACTTCCCGACCCTCCTGGTACATCTCAGCAGCGAGGTCAGGGGCAGGGGCAGGCAGCGAGCCCTGCTGCACTCGGGTGAAGAGCGCCGTGCCCCGCTCCAGGGTCAGCTGGTAGAGGGACAGGTGGTCGTCACAGTGGCGAAGCAGTTCCCGCAGCTGCCGCAGCCAGGCCCCAGCTCGCTGTGCCGGCAGCCCCAGCATCAGGTCCACAGACACGCGGCCAGGGAAGAGGCGCCGGGCCTCTGCCAGTGTCCGCAGAGCATCGCTGGCCGAGTGCGTCCGCCCCAGCAGCTGGAGCTCAGCATCGTCCAGGGACTGAGGAGAGAGGGTCAAGTGTAAGCACGCAGGTCAGCCCGGAGGGAGGCAGTCAACTGCCATGGACAGGCACAGGGGAAAAGGCGGGACACGGCAGGGAGCTGGAAGGCGGGTGGACAAGCCGGATCCATGGGCACCCCTCTCGGGAGAGTCCATGTCCAAGTGCTGTCCTCCAGCTTCCAGCCATTCTTCACACTGTCCAGTGTTAGCTCCATGGTACACATGAGAAAAATGAGGTTTAGAAATCTTAGGGAACTCACCCAAGGTCACACAAATGCCAAGTCAAACTGAGAATCTGACTGATTTCAAAGCTACCAGCCTTAAATTTTCACATTTTGTTTTGAATATTCAAGAAAAGTTGGGGGGAGAAGCACAATAAATAACTCATCTGAATCCATCAACTAACATTTGTCACTTTGGTTTCTAAAACTGCTGACTCATGAGAATAAGTTACAGGTGAGCACTGTCTGAGAAAACTTTTTCTGGTGATGGAATGTTCTCTCTCTGCACTGTCTGACATAGTAAGCGCAGCCGTCCGACAGTTAATTAAATCTAAATAACTCCATTTCGGGTGCTTGCTAGCCGGTGTCCAGTAGCTACTGTATTGGTCAGTGCAGGTAGGAAACATTTTAGTAAAATGATGGGAGCCACTGGCCACATGCTAGTGAGCGCTTGAAATATGGTTATTCAAGTTTATTTACATAATGTACTCCCCTTACCCCTAAATACTTAAGCATGTTATTTCATAAGAATAAGGACATTCTCTTACATAAGCACAGTCCAGGTACAGAGTTCAGGAATGTAACATCTAATACATAAGCATATTCAAAGTTGGCCAAGCACCTAAGATGGACTGTAGTAATTTCCTCTTCCCATCCCAATCCAGGATCCTGTCAGGGGCCACAGCTGTCAGCTGTCACTGTTTTTTTTTTAATCCCATTTAATCTAGTCCAGAGCTTCAGCCTTTCATCGTCTTTTGACATTGAAGAGTACAGACAGCTGTTTTTTAAAATGTCTCTTAATGAGCATATTCTGGAGAGCTGTTGTATAGCATTGTGCTTATAGTTAATATTACTCCACTGTGCATTTACTACTAAGAGTCTAGCTGGATCTCATGTTATACATCCTTACCACAAAAAGCCTCAGAACTTAGGTTTTCCTGAAGGTTCTTTCCTGATTTAAGGTTCGCCACAATCAGATTTAAGATATGCATTTTAGAGGGTAGATCTGAGAGATGATGTATCCTTTTCAGTATATCCCATCAGGAAAAGTCCTCACCCCAAAATCAGTGATAAGTGGCACAGATAGAAAGCAGGGAAATACCAGATATGGAAATACCAGGTGTCAGTTGTAGAACAGGTTTCTCCCTACTTAAAAACACTCAGGGACCCCATAGGCAAAAAATCCAAACTCTTTAGCCCAAGGCTTTTAGATCCTACCTTGCAGTCTGATCTCCAGCCTTTTGAGTCACAAGGAATGACTCACAGCTTCCCCAAATAAGCAAGATTCTTCCATATCCTGTGTCTTTTCCTCCCACGTCAATTCCCCAGGTGAACTCCTCCTGGGTCAATCACCTCCTCCAGGAGGATTTCCATGATTTCATCAGATGCAGAGGCCCTTCCGTCTGTACCCTGAAAGCCTTTGTAGGCAGCCTTTACCATGATGCAACGATCTGATCACCTGGCTGCCTCCTCCTGTGTCTCCAACCACACAACGAGTCTCTTTTGAATACCTACTGTGTGCCAGGCACAATGGTGGGTGCTTGGAATACAGTGATGAACAAAAGGCACATGATCCCTGCCTCATGGAACCTGTGGTCTAGCCCAGCAGCAGGCAACTAAGTAGTGACAAGTGTGAAGACACATTTTTCAGTACCTAGGGGGATCTGGCACCAAAAGGAACTTGTAAATGTCTCCTCCATGAATGCATGAATCTGACCAGAGGAGCAGAGCTCGGAAGGTCTCCATGCCCTGAGACCGGGTGGGCGAGTAGGGTTACGAGTAGGGTTACCTGAAGGCCAATGGACAACCTGTTGACCCCTGCTGCCCCAAAAGCTGCCAGCCTGGAGCCTGGGGCTGAAGTGGGGTTGGCCTCCAATGTCACCTCCGTGTCTGCAGGCAGGTGCACTGCCTGGGCCACCGTGTCCAGGACAGCAGCCACCGTGTGAGGACTGGCCAGGCTGGGAGTGCCCCCCCCAAAGAACACAGAGTCCACCCTGGGGAAAGAGGATGGAGATGAGTCTTGTGCTGAACCAACGTCCCCACCCCCAAATAATTTCCCAGACCACGCGTCCAGCCTCTGTACCCACCGCTGCACCCCACTGAGCCGCAGCAGTGTCTGAGCTTCAGTCACCAGACAGCTCCGCACGGCCGCCTCATCCACACCCCGCAGGATGTACTTGTTGAAGTTGCAGTAACTGCAGCGCTTCTCACAGTACGGCCACTAGTGGGAGAGTGGGCGGGGTGGGGTGGGGAGGGTGACCCCAGGTGGCCCCGGCCACTTCCAGGGTTCTGGCACACACCTGCGCAGCGCCATTCCGAGGCTAAGCAATGGAACCCTCCAGGGGCAAGTCGGACCGAGGTTTAAAATTCTGCCCACTTCAATGCGGGGAAACCGCAGCGCAGAAGGGCAATCACTCGGTCACGATCGCCGCACTGGGAGGACCCCGACTTCGGATCCTGAACCCCGGCACCTCCCAGCCTGGCGCGGGTGGGGGCCCACGCGTGACAGCGGCCACGCCCCTGCCTGCCACTCACGTGCACGTAGAGCGCCGCGCTCCGGCTCCTGCGCGCCG